TAGCACATAGGAATGTTTCAGTGCTAAATCAATTAAAAATAGTAAAGGAGTAAGAGTAGTAGAAGTTGAGAGTAAGAATAAAAGTGGATATAAACTGTCAGTTTAATTGGAGTAATACGACCCATCATGAAACCGTCTCCCGGAGACCTGCTTCCACACTTCTCTTCCACATCTCATCTGGCCATGTGCTATTGTGGCGTTATATGTATACAGTTATGTGGGGGCCTGTGATATATATTAAGCTCTCCCCATCGTATAGCCATCTTTTATCTGATTTGTTTCCAGCACTGTATTGTGGGGGCCTGTGTTCAATGAAAAGCTCTCCCCATCATACAGCTATCTTTTAGCTGATTCAATTCCAGCACTGTACTGTGGGGGCCTGTGTTTCATATTAAGCTCTCCCCATCGCACAGCCATCATTTGGCTGATTAGAATCAAGCACTTGTAATATGTGCCAGTGAGTTTGTGATAACTCATACTGCATGAGTGTGCTGCATTTTTTTCGGAAGCATTTATCCATAGCCTCGGGAGATCGGCCCAATCCTGGCCAACACTGGAAGGAGAGAAATAAGCAAATAAAAGTGGGTGGACGTACAGTAACGTGAAATGCTAGATTTTCGTCCGACGTTGTTCGATTCAGATTGTACAAGTTTCACTGGTAACTGATAACCTCAGGAATATACATGCTTTTTACAGAAAAGGAGAAGAATTTTCGGAGGAAATAGTAAGATAGCTCCAGCAGTTGTCGGAGATCAAAATGGGAAAATTGGTGATGCGAAATAATTTTGTATGGTACTGAGAAATGTTGTATGTACGCATGGTATTTTTCAGGGAGGGAGAGAAAACTGTACGCAAAGTAAAGTAAGTTAACTGTCGTTCCAACTGTTCAGCTGTGTGCGGTAAGAGGAGAAGCTGATTTCGTTGAGGGGATTTGTTCAGAGTGAATGTAAGCGTGGAAGATCATGGTAGGTTTTCGGAAGGTGTTATCAAATGGATCCAGTCCAAAAGCAGAAGGATTAAATCAACATTGATTTCGCTGAGCACGTAACACAGCAGCTCGTACCTAAGGGAGGGGTCCAGGGAAAAGATAAGTAGAAAATAATTAGCGTTGCAGAACAAATGCGAAATAATTTGCTCGAGAGGAACTCTAGGGCACATTTCCGTCTTGGTGAGTGTGAACTTCATTGTTAATCAGGATATTTTTGCCTTTAGAAAACACGTTATTGCTACTGATAAATTTGGGGAGGGGCAGTACTAAGTTCGCCATGGGGGGACGTATGATTTTCTGTGTCTGCTCCTTTCTCGCCGGGCTACTGTGGGCCCCACGGCTTCAAGCCTCAACCACAAAACGAGGGAGAGTTGCTCGGGGCAGGGTCGGGAGTTGGGGGAGCAGGTGTCACCCAGGGGCGGTGGGCCGAGTCGTTTCGACGTGGCGAACCCAGTAACAGGAGCAATCTGGTGGTGTCAGATATTAAATTTGAAAATCTTATATATTAAGAGTATGAATTATATTAAAAAGATAGTGAATAGCCTGCGATGGTGTATTATTTCAAGAATTTTGAAATATTATTTTGTGATGTATGATTGAAAGGTAAATATTTTTTTGATATTATTTTATGAATATTATATATATAGATTGTGTTAATTTATAATTAATGTATTTTTTTTTCTTACCCCCCTTTGGTATATTGTTGGGTAATTATTTTATTACCCGAGTTATGTTTGTGGTGGATAGGGATGGTAATAAAAAAATTGTTAATCTTAGTTTTTGATGTTGTTGTGTGTGCCCACCGGATTTGATTGTAGGTCTGTGAGCCACGTCGGAGTGGCGCCCTAATTTCCGTACGGGGAAGATTTTGGGAATTCGGGGGATTGCGAAGACTGGGGGCGAAAATGGGTGAGGGGAATTCACTTTGATCGTTTTGTTGTCAAAGGGTTTTTTGGATTGGTGTTTTTGTTTGTGGTTTTGTGTAGTTGTTGTTGTTGTTTGTTTAGGTGTAGTTGTGATTTTGTGATTGTTGATTATGCATATACGATCGCTGTTTCGACGTTTAGAAAGGAATGTATAACGTGTCGGAACTTCATCCCTGACTGGATTGCACGTATCTCAGAAGGAGGCCTGTTCCACATAGGAGTACCGATTTAGGAAAAGTTGTCAGACAGTTTCGTTCGTGATCTTTTAACTTGTCACTTATTCGCCGATTGTAATTTCGGGTGCGATAAATTTGATAATTCTGCTGTTGTACCGATGGGCTTGGAGACATGTCTTTTTGGGATAGTTGTATCAAAGAAGATGAAAAGGTTATGTCTCTTCTTCGACAATGCAAGTGGATCAAGTTTTAAGGCCAACGCAACGATCCATGTAAGATAGGGTGGGGAAATCCTATAAGACGCTTAGGTAAAATACATTATCGACAACTTGCTTCTGAGATAAAACGGTAGCTTGAACTGCCCCTTTGAGTGAGAGAGAGCCCGGTCGAAATAGCCTGCGGTGGTATCAGAATGAGGTAACCGATCTGAATCTTGCAGGAAGCATTCTGGAACACCAAAGCAACATTGTCCACTCTGGTCCTCGGTGCCTCACCTCAAACGGACATCTCGTTTGTTCACTCAATCTCTCTTCGTCGTATTTGTGAATTCAGTAAAGCTTTTGACTAGATTCTGCACTAAATTTTGCTTAGCAAAGTTCGCATTGGTATTTCAGGAAAAATCCTCTCTTCTCTCACTGATTTCCTGCATGGTCGCGGTTTCCGTGTGATAGTAAATGAGTCCCTTTCTTTCCCTGTAAATATGACCAGCTGTGTTCCACAAAGCTCTGTTCTTGGCCCTGAACCTTTTAGTCTTTATTAATAATGACCTGGCGTCGGTACTACAGGCAGATTGTTCGATTCACGCAGATGATTTAAAGCTATGGATGGAAGTTTCCTGTGTGGATGAAGCTGATGTACTACAAACAGGGCTCGATTCGCTGCATGATTGGTCGAACAGGTGTCAAGTACCCACAAATCATGATAAATGTTCCGTTTTCCCCATCGGTACCTCCGAACTATTAGGAATTTATCATAGCGGTGGGTTTTTGCTGCCAAACTCTAATCGTGAGAGGGACCTTGACGTCGTGGTAAACCCAGACCTAAAATCGAATGAAGATACCTTGAGCAAAATCACTTCTGCTAACAGCTTGTTTTTCGCCATACGACGATCCTTCTCCCGCTTGACTCCGGTGATCTTCAGGCTCGTGTTCATTTCTCATGTATGTCCGATTCTTGAGTATGGACTGCCCGCTATCTATCCTCTTTCCGAATTGGAATGCAACTTGTTGAAAAAGTTCAGCGGAGAGGATCTAAATCCGTTCTGGAGTTACGAAACCTGCCTTACCCACATCGTCTGCAATGCCTGAACTTGTTCTCCCTAGCTTATCGTCGAGATCACTGGGATTTGATTTTCACACGACGTATCGTTAGAGGTAAACTTGGAGCTGAACTGCAGAATTTCTTACAGTTCGACTCGCGGTCACCACGGGAAATTGGTTAAACAAAGGAGACTTCGGGTCCGTTTTGCCGTCATTCTGTCTACCAGAGTAGTGAATGAATGGAATAATCTACCTGTGTGCGTCGTTGATGCGCAGTCGAAGGATTGATTCAAACATGAATTGGATTCTTACCTGTTGAATAAACTCGGATCTTGTTGCTTCTTGTGTCAATGCAGCGGTTCCATTGGTACCGACGTGCAATGTATATTTTGATCCCCGTGACGAACGGGAAGCGATGGAACTGACAAAGGATTTTTCCTTTTGCTCTCTACATTCTAATGATCCAACGATCCAATGAAGTAACCGCACCTTAGAGGACTACCGGAAGGAAACTTCATCCGAAACTAGACTTCTTCACGGGGTTCCTGAAACTGAAACATATGTTGAGCATGAAATAGTAACGCAAGATAAAGAACACTGGTGTTATATTTGTGAAACGCTCTGCTTGGATGATGTTTCAGCGAAATCCGTGTCACGGCTGCGTACCTCACCGAACTACAAAGGAAGTGGCCCGAGAGTGTTGAAGGTGGTCCTTCAGTCAAAACACATGGTAGCACGGCTGATAAAATGCTGCTACATTTTCCGTTGTAAGCTACCATCCAAGTTTCGACTGAAGACAGTCAAGCATATGCCTCCTAGAGATGATGTATTAATCAAAGTACCAAACACGATGGGATCTATGAAATAACAATGCACCAGTAGTGTGTCGAATGAGCACATACAACCTGTAGAAGATGACATTAACCAGACACCTTACACTGTAAATAGAAGATTAGACAATGGACTAACTACGCGGACGACGAATAAGACGTTAAACCCTTCACCAAGTACACATCGAAAAATCGATTAGTTGCCGGCCACTCACTGGTCGACGAAACTTCACGTATGAATTGTAAAACCTCTGAAACATTGCTTTAATCTGCGAAATTTTCATATATGTACACTAATGCCTGAAGGGCTCCTCAGCAAACTTACCGAACTTCGGCTGCGTCAGGTTGCGAATGCTTGGGACCTAATTTCTATTACTGAATCTTGGTTACACCAAGAGGTGACTGATGCTGAGGTTGAGAAAGCCAGAATCCCACTCATCCAGAACGACCGCCCCAGAAGAGGAGGTGGGGTCCTACTCTACTACCGGAGCGACATGCACTGTGCAATAGTTGATGGTCTGGAAACTCGCGTTACCGACTAAGACACAACGACGCATGTCTCGTAGCTGTCGTTTACCATCCCCCAACGTCCACTCCGGAAATGGATTCCCGCTTGATACGTGTCCTGAACAGAGTAACACGCACTAAGTACAGCCACATTCTCATCTCCGGGGACTTCAATCTACACGATCTGGAGGTATCGGCATCACCCAGTGAACAGTTCAAAGCAGACTTGCATGAACTGATCGCTAATATTCCCTTGTACAATCATGTCACCACGCCCACTAGATTCAGGACAGCAAACAAATTATCCATATTGGACCTAGTGTTCACTTATGAAGAGCTCATAATTGACAAGGTATTTATGGATAGTCCATTAGGTCTCAGTGACCATGTAGTAATAACGTTCAACTATGTGTGTTATGCAGAGTATCCATCTGAACACTCAGAAGTAACCATCACACGCTACCACATGTTGAAAGAACTCACCGACGCAGCTGCTTGGGAATTCTCAAACAACAGTCACCTTGACAACGTTTGGACTGAGTTCGTTGACAGACTCAACAACATCGTTAACAGAGCATCAGAGACCAAGCCCCTTCATCCCACGTAAATGCCTTTAATTCTAAGGAGCAGGTCTCGAAAACGCCTGTCGATAAGGGATGCAGCATGGTGTGCCTACAATATTTACCCCGACTCAGAGAATTGGGGCAATTACCTGACCCATCGCAACCATTACACTGCACTTGTGAGTGAAGACAAACTAACTTATCAACAGTGTCTAGCCAAAATACTCATGCCAAACAACAAACTGCTATATGGGCATGTCAATAATCTTCGTAAAGTTATGAATGGAATCTCTCCACTTTTCACAACAGGTGGTAGAGTACAAAGCGCCGAAGAAGAAACTAATGCCCTGCAGTTAAAATACGCTACAATTTTCGTACTCGCAGGCTCCACCTGTCCCATAATGTCATGCAGATTACCGACTCTATTGTTTACACATGTAATTTTCAACCCACCAATTGTGCTAAAGAAGTTCCTCTCACTGCGCAATCATAGCTCTCCGGGAGCAGAAAACATCCACCTGAAAGCAATGAAGGCTGTGGCCAACAAGCTAGCTGAACCACTGTCACAGTTCTTCCAAAGATGCTTTGATGAACAGCAAGTCCCCACTATGTGGAAGCGTAGCATTAGCACCCCAATTTTTAAAGGCGGTAGCCTTTCAGATCCTGCAAACTATCGCCCAGTGACTCTCCTTCCTGTGCTCGCGAAGGTGATGGAAGCGGCCATCGCTGAGGCTCTAATGGACTACCTTGAAAAATGCAACATCTTGGTAGCGGAACAGCATGGCTTCCGTCAACACTGGTCATGCACCACCAACCTACTTATTGCACGAGGTAGTTGGACGGAAGTGGCCGATGATGGGGTCGGAGTCGACGTCATCTATCTGGACTTCTCCAAACCTTTTGACCGCCTGGATCACCGCGTCCTACTTCAGCGGTTACAGAGGTACGGAATCAGAGATCCGTTAATTTATTGGATTGGCAACTTCCTTTACCAACGGAAGCTTCGAGTACGCGTTAGGGGATCGCTCTCTAACCCGATTGAGGTAGAATATGGTGTTTCACAAAGCTCAGTGCTGGGACCGCGCTTATTCCTGGTGTTTATCAACGACCTGGCAAGAGTTATCTCCTCAAATTCCCTGCTTTTCGCTGGTGACCTCAAGATGTTGCAGGCGATTAGTAACAATGAGGATTACGATAGACTCCAAAATGACCTATATTGCATCTATGAATGGTCAAAAAGGAACCTGCTTCAGTTGAACAAAGCTAAGTACAAGGTGTTCCAACTGCGTCACCAGACGGTGAGCGCTTACAAGCTTGGAGACCACACCATGGAGAAGGTTTCTCAGGAGTGTGACTTGTGTGTTTTGGTACAGGAAGAATTTGGGTGTTCGTAACAAGCAGAGAAGGCGACGAGAGCCGACAATCAACACTTCGGCTTGTTTCGCAGAGCCTTCGGTCGGTTTGAACCTTCAATCCTTCCACTAATGTTTAACGCCTAAGTGTGACCGCACGTGGAATATGCTACTCAGGCGTGGCAGCCCTGGCAGATACAGGATTTTGTTGCTCTCGAGACTCCTCAACGAAAGGCAACCAAGAATATCAGGGTCTTCTTTCATCTGCTTTATCAGCAGATCTCATAATTGGTTACCAGATTCTGAAGGACTCAATCCACATTTGCCGTCCGCTGCTGGAATTGAAGCACAACGCTAACCTAAGAAGTCATCCTCTGACACTGAAAATACAATAAAGCCGGCTTGAATGCCGTAGAAATTTCTTGTTCCTCCGCGTGCACCAGCCTTTGAACGCCCTCCCAAATTATCTCGTCTCCGCTCCCAATCTGTCGATATTTTAAACAAACTGTTGACGATGCGCTGTCTCATTTGCATTTAATTTTATGAATTGTTAACCAGGGGCTACAAAACGCAATCAAACGGTGTCTTACCAAACTCCCAACCAACGGATTTATGGATTTCTACGTTTAATACGCGAACATCCCGCTATTGTACATACGTCTATTATGAGTCCGCCAAAAGGCTTTTCACTTTATCATGCAATTTACTTATCGCAATAATTTCCATCTCACGGGACCCGTTAAGCATTGTTTTATACTCCTAATCACTGTTCCATTGTTCCATTTTACCTTCAAAACTGCTTGCAGGACATGGTCTCTAAGCTTATATGTGTTGTTCGGCTGGTGGCCAATGTGAACCACCATACACTTTCTCGAATCGAACTGGAGCAGATTGTGGAGAGACCGCTCATGCGCTCCATCCAGGTCTCGCTGAAATGCATCTTGATATGCTGGGTCGGCGCTCATCCGCCACATGTTAATATAATCAGCGGAAACTAAGAAATCTGAGGCTATCAAACGCGTAAGCTCGTTAATGAACACGAAAAACAGACACGGTCCCAGAACTGATCGATGTAGAACTCCACATTAGACATAAATCGGATCGGAAGTCGTTGATTCAGCAGGAAATTCCTGATCCACCCAAGGACAGGATCACCAACTCCATAGATTTCGAGCCTGTGAAGCATAATGCGCTGGTCCAATCCGTCGAAAGACTTGGAGTAGGCGAGGGAAATGACGTCCGTCTTCTGTCTTTATCGGCCGCTTCCGTCGAACTACTGCGTGTAATCACTAGGTTAGTAGTGAATGAACGGTGCCGGCGGAAACCGGGTTGCTCTGGTCCTATCGAAGGGCGGCGGAAGCCAGTAACTGCTCGTGAACCGGCATGACAGCAAAAACGGGATTATGGAGAATTAACCACGAGCACAATAAATGAGACGAGACAAGGCTCTGTGAGCGTTGCGGATCGAGCCGACAGCGGATCACGGGCGTCACCTGGTAACAAGACTGGGCCCAGAACAATGGAGAAGGTATTTGTCGAGAACTTAATGAATTAGACGAATACGCCGCTAGCGAAGCCCAGAGGAGTGAACGCGGGTCGAGTGAGGCAGAGAGGGGAGAACAGATCTCGAGCTTTCGAAAGACTCAGCCTGCCAGAATCGGATGTAGCGAAGCGGAGATGCGGGATGGAAACATGGAGGGGTTGTCCCGAAGCTCAACCTAGTAGGCAGCTGGAATGGTCCGTCACACAAATCCTCACCCACGTTGCGTAGTGGGAAGGA